AACTGGTAATTTTTGGAATACCTGGTTTTTCATAAGCAAACTGCATTGAAAAAAATCCTTATTTTACCTTAAAATAATTTACCGTAGCTTTTACAGTAATATTTAATTAGAATGATTCATTGATTTCACCTTAATTATTACTATAAAAATTATGATACATCGAATTTTTAATTCCGTAACATATTCTGGTAAAATTGGATTTTACGGCGGAAATCCGGCACTCTGAGTAATTACTTTTTTCCGGGAATTTGATGCCGAATTTTTTTATTGCGGGAAAAGTTAAATAATTACTAATTCAACTTTTCATATAATTATACGTATTTACCTAAAAATTGGGAAACAGATATTTGACATATTTAGCTAAAGCCCAAAGTATTTACTTTATACTTCAACTCACTTGGTACTATCCATTTCTGTTAGAATTCTCATCTAATCGATTTACGGCACTTTAGAAGAGTGGAATGAAAAGATGGTTTTAATCATGCCTTAATGCACATATTAGGTCCCCATTTTACTTGAAGAAAATTCTCTGTCTAACGAACAATGCCCAATAATGGAATTTCATGCTCAACAAACCACGGAGACTTCCTAATAAAGGTATTACCATCGTTTGGAAAATCCAGACCTGTTATTTTCTCTGACACCCTCTAACAAATAATCTGTTGAGGAAAATTAATCACGTTTTTATTCTTATTGAAGCGCTTATTTTCAATAATACATAAGCAGCTTAAGACATGTTATATTTACGGCATATTTAACGCCTTCTATGTGTTTGAGTTTTTTTTTTTTTTTTGTTAATAGTTAAATAAGTAATTTTTTAAAATAACAGTTTTCTCTTTCACACTTTCTATAAAATTTATTTTAAATAATGTCTTAACGTTTTGCTTAAGTTTGTAAAAAATGATAAGATGAATCTGAAATTTAAAGCATAAACTTTAACGAAGTATATAGTTTTGACAATAATAAGAAATTTTTTATTGTATTTCTAATATTTTTTTTCTGCTTTTGAGTCGAGTTTGATAATTAAAAGGGACTTAGTACCAGCAAAACAATTATTAATGAAAGGTCTCTGATAAAGTTCTTTGTAAAGTTTCAAAAATAACTTCGTAACCTTTAAACTTGGTCAACTTTAAAAGAAAAGAATTTCTGAAAGTAATTTTCATGATATAACTAATTATAAAAATAATGCCTTATTAAAACCAGTTCTGAAAATGTCCTTGGAATTTGATTTGGTAAAATATATTTTTAAATTTAAGTAAAATGAACATCCGGGAACATGACAAAATTATCATATTGATGACCAAATCACGAATGTAAAATTTTATTGCAAAATCCTCTATAAAAACTATTATAATCAATCCTTTTATCATTATGATGCGTGGAACAGAGTGGAATAATTCAGGAAACAGAATGAAAAAAAATCAGAGACGATTTTTAATCAGAGTTAAGGAGGGGCACAAATATCCTAAAATTCTTTAACTCTTTCGGACACATAACTGTCCTATCAAGATAATTACTTTAATGCGTTGTAACTTGAACTGATTTCGTAACCCGACAATAGTTCGGAAGATAATAAAAATATCATTTAGATAAAAATTGTACATTATTTGTCTCATCATCTCATTACAATTTATAATTTAAAATTACAAGTTTAACTGCACTACAGATTATTGAAATTTTCTTTTCAATAACCTGTATTAATTTTTTTATTTAGTATTATTTTTATTCTTGGACAATTTAATCATTTCGATGCATCAATAATATTTCCAGTAAAAGTATTTTCTTTAAAATAATGTATGATTTTCTAATACGTTATAGTAAATAAATTATACTCTTTGTAAAACGAATCAAACCTTGCGTTTTATTTGAAAGTATTATATACTACGTATTAAATTTTCAAGCTATTGCTAAAACGAAAAATATTAAACATTTCATGAAAGTTGAAATTAACATTAAAAATAACATTACTTAAAAAAGAATTATTTAGATGGTTATAAATGTGAAAATGTTTATGGCTTGCATTGAATTTTAAAATGTGTTACAAATAACAAAACCAATTGTTTTCATAAAGCGTTGGTGAACTTCTTATGGATAAGATGCTAATTAATAAAAAATTAGTGATTCATATTACAACAAAATGCATACCTATAGTAATCTAAAATGTATATAACAATAAATATTAATCTTACAAGCAATTTGAAGTATGAGATATAATTTAAGTGTATTGCTAATAAAAAAATAATGTTATTAATTTCAGATACTTTTTAAATTTACCGTCAAAAATACAGATGAATTTAAATTACTCTATTTCGTGTTGAGCTTCTTGAATTACTTCTTCGGGTACCTTTTTGTATTTTTTAAGCTTATATCTGATTTAAATGCACTTAGGTACGTGTTGTCGATTTCTAAAAAACAACTCCTAAGGGATATACTTAGATTTTCGATGAAATTTCTAGTTATAAAACGTTATTTTATTACTGAATATCTTATATTTTAAGCATTTTAAATTTTTTTTAGATACAGTCATTATTAAAATGTAAAACACGTGAAAAAACTTTAACTTATGTGACATCAATTGTATAAAACTTAATTTGAGTTCGAGGACAGTTTGAGATTTTCTGTAGTTATGTAAGTAGCCAAAGTCTTATAATATATTTCTTTAAGCTCATAGTCGATACTGCATAATAGTTATTACTATCTATACTGTAAATATTTCAATACAATTCAATATTACCATACAATAAGTATGTTTCTTGCCTTAATGTAAAAGTAGAATGAAATTGGATGTTTTAGTTAAGTAGCATAAATGCAAAAGTGTTCTATTTCTTTTTGCTAAAATACCTTTAACTATTATACAAAATCGAAAACACAAATTGTGATACATTATACTGGATTCTTCCAACTGCTTACAAACCTAAGATATTTTTTGGTACTTTAAGGTGATTTTTCAAAATTAGAATATTTTTAAAATTTTTTTTAATTGTTTCCATATTTTTTAATATTAATATTTTAGTAATAAATAGTAGTGCGTTTATCATCTTATGATCTAACGAAATACAATCTGATTTTGAAAGTAAAGCCTTTTCCATTAAAAAAATAGTTTATTAAAAGTAATAGAATAAATTTCTTACATATAAACAAATTAATTTGACTTAATTATTATTTTTTCTACTAAAATGCAACTAATTAAAATATAATACTTACAGTAGGAAAACATATCATTCAGTTTTCTACTGGAAAAATTTGCTATATTTTTTAAAAATATGATTTTGCAAAAAATAAAAACCTTACAATTTAACCATGGTACCACAATAAAAGCATAAAATAAAACATAGTATGACACCTTTTCTCTTTTCAATCACATACATCTTAAGGTTTTCTCAGAATTGTGTTGAGTTTGCTACAAAACTAATTGTTAACATAAAAACTTTTCGAAATAATGAATAAGATCTTCCTTTCCCTTACTGAAACTTTAGAAGAAAAAATACATTTCCACTTAAAGAGTTTTGCACAAACCAAGTAAAGGAAATATAAAATGAGTTTAAAAAGTTCGAAAAAGAAACTAGCTTAGCCAAATATAAAAAGTAGCTATGGTAAAATTATTATTTGGAAAATATTCGCATTGAAAGGAAAACAAATCTGAAATTTCTAAAATATTTCATGTAACTTGTTCTCAAAATTTTAATAAAATCTTAAATATCCACAGAAAAATTAAGATAAATTGTATTATTTTTAATAAGATTAAATATGTCTTATAGTCTAACTGTTATTTCACCATAATCAGCGAAATTAAATATTACTTGGCATGAATAAGAGAAAATCTTCAAATTTGTATTTACTACAATGGAGAAAGATAAGTAATGGATAAACATTATAAGTTTGATTAATTTTGTTGTTTTGCATTATATGAACAAAAATCTCACCTCTCACATACTCAACTTACTCCCACCTACTATTATTAGGATTGACAGGAAATAAAAGAACTGCATCAGTTATTTTTTTCTGAGTTTAGAGTTCCAATTTTTTGAACTACGCAAATTAAACAAAAATATATAAATAACTAATTAATTGTGCATTAAAATTTAGCCTAAAAAATTCAATGTATTTTTATTACATTCCAAAAAAAATTCTGAAGGAGAAAGTAAAACTTATCTAGTTAATTACAAAATTAATGATTTTTTTCTATCACCATGCAATTAGACAAGCTTGACTTTTTCAATAATGCTGCTGAAAGAGGACCAATTCAATAAAAAATGAGAACTTCGCCCAAATCGCTTAACCACATGTTACCTGTTCGGAAAAAAGGTTCAAAGCAAAAGTAAATTATATCTAGTTAAACAGCATATCTATGAGATTTGTATTATCTAAATGCAAAATTAATGATTTTATTTCTGTCACCATGAAAATTTCTATTAAAAGAAATCTTTACCTTTGCGATTAAGTTGCTGAAAAGTGACCGTATTAATAAAAAATGATATTCTGTGCCCATATTAATTAAATACATGTTACCTGTTTCGAAAAAAAAATGCTTTAAGCAAAAAATATAACTAATAATATGTATTTTGACGTGCGTCAAAAATGATCAAGTCTTTCATATCAAAACATCCAAAAATGCATATTTTTAGACAGAAAATTATTAATAGGAAAGTTAAGAGAAAACTTATAATACACTGCATAATATTCCTAAGAATTCTGATGATAATTTTAAATCTAATGATACTTCTTACTTAATATTTAATTTTAAGAAATTCAAAAATTACTACATTAAAAAATTTAGCTGCTAACAAACACTTTAAGCACAATAAAATTTTATTGTGTATTTTTTTTAACACAAAATCACATATTACACATATAAGCATTGTAATTTCGAACACATTACAAAAAAAAAATATCTCACAAACGTTCATGAATAAAAGTAATAATTTTTGTTATTAAAAATTTCTATTATTTCCTCTAAAAATTATTACTGATCAACATAATTTCTTATATATTTTTCTCACCTGTTGTCGTTGATGTTGAAGAACTGTCTGCACATGGGAATGTTACATAGAAAATTAAAAATAAAGATCCTATTATTAGATGCATATTGTTGGAAACTTTTTATATAGAAATCCCACTTTTAGTGTTTGTATATACAAAATCACTATATTCTTGAAAATTCAATTCCACAGCAAAAAGGAGAAAATACACCCCATATCATGCATTGTACATTTTACACATCTTTGCATATTTTTTAAAAAAATTTTCTAATGTTATTTACATTTATTTCTTTTAATTTTCGTAATTTTAATACATTAAAATCCTGTTTTGAAGCAATATATCCAGTTGTTAATTTTTACCCCGCACACATTTTTAACGCAAACAAAAAAACAATTCTTTTTTAGAAACAATAATCAACAATTTTGATTATCCGGCACAATCCTTTGATGAAAGAGCGAAAGAAATTAAAAAATATATTTCACTGTCGCTGGAACAAGTTGCGTGGAAAAACAAATCTCACCCAACTAAGCCAGCCGATCGGCCTTTTCTAAATGTTTCGATCAGGGGTCGGACTACCCAAAACAGACGAGTATTATCCAGACAGTGGCTCCCTCTACTTGGTCGTCAAATTGTGCATCTTGTGGGGGTCGCGGAGGTGGGTTTTCGGCATCTGAGAGAACAAGAGGGGCACAGTTGTTCTAACACCTGGTTGGTAAAATGTATTCAGGGGTCTGGGGGATGATTTGACAGGGGCTTGTCTTGTTTGAGGTGCTCTCGTTTGAAAAATCGTTGAGTAGCTTAAAGATGCTGATACGTATGATCGGTGATCTTTAGATCAGTGGAAGTCATTTTACTATTTATTTTTGTCTTTTTTTTATCAGATTTTTTACCGTTTCATCAAAGAGAATAAAACAAATTTAAAGTGAAAAAAAATATTTTATACCATTTCATTACATGAAAATAGTTTTTGAAAACAGTTTTTTGAAAGAGAAGTAATTTGAAAGTGAGGGCAGTCAAATATGAATATCAGAGTAATTTAGAGTACACGTAACTGCTTCAAAACAATGCTTCAAGAGGATGGAATAATAAGGAAAAAGTTGTTTCAGTGGTGTTTTTAATTTTTACATTATGTTAAAATAAAAAGAAATTCAAGTTTGAAGTCATTAAAACAAAGCAATATCAAATGTTTATAGGTGCTATTTTGATTTATTAAAGTGGTAATTTAAATTAAAAGGTAGGTAAACAGATTAATTCGTAGCAAATTAGTTTCCTTATTATACTTAATATATTAAATAAATTTTTTGTCTCATCATGAGTTTTTATTTTCTTTTTCAATAAAACAAGACAAATCATAATGCATTTTCACTAAACCAATTTAATTTGATGCATCATTTCAAAATATTTTTTTGCCAGGTAATAAGCCCAATGTTTCTTTCCTTATTCATTTGCCACCTTGACGAATTCCTGAAAACAAATATATTTTTTCTCTATTTTTTTTAATAATTTTATTATTTAATTTTATAGTTTCAAACTATCAATTAAAGCAATTTAAAAGTGATGACTAAAAATATTCTTCTTTTATTATTTAAAAACAAGCAAAAATGATTAAAAAAAAAGTTATTTATAACGAAACTAATGTTACGCTATGCAGGTTTTTTCTTTTACAATTAATGGATAAATAAAATATTTCCCTCTTATGCAATGAAAATAATCTTAAATGAACGACGGTAAGGGGTTCATCTTATATACACTAACATGCCAATATACACACTAACTTATATGCACTAACCTTTCCTTATATACACTAACTTACCAAAACTTGAATAATTACATGAATGTGCTCATTTGCTCATTGCACATAAGCCTCATATAAATGATTTTAAAAATTCCTTCCCTGTATAAATATTTATAGACTGTTATAACTAGCCATGGAGAACTAATTAAATGTGTTTAGTCCTACAATGTGATGTTGTTTAATCTGCTTACATAATATTGCTAATTTTTTTTCAATTTTGCGAATTGCTCATCCTTTATTAACAAATATTATTCCGAACAATACAAACAAATACATTATTATAGATTGATTGACAGCTGCAATTTTGTAGGTCAGCTTTTAAGAAAAGTAATTTTGGACACAGAATTAAAAAAAAATCATGCGGAATATTTCAGAATAAGTGATTAGAAATTATTTGTTTCGTTTCCTCTTGTAATAACTGAATCTCACAGAAAACTGATTTTTAATAAATATTTTTATTGCATTTCCAAAAAAACATTTAATATTGCAAATATTAGTCATAATGTATGTTCATTAAATTTTCTTATAAGAAGGACAAATATTTACGTTATTTCATATTGAAAATTTATATATGTAATGCAATTTTTATCTCTCAGATCTTACTTCTTGTACATATTCAGTCTCATTACTCTAGATATTATATTTAATTTAAAAGTTGCTTTAATTTCAAACAGAACTTAAAACAAAATGAATTTATTTTCATTAATTCAATAAACGCAAACTCATTAAATTAAGTAATAGTTCGCGGAAGTCTCTAACTATAATTAAAGCAAAAAGAAACACCTTTGAATTCCATCAAATCACTTTCGGGTATAGTGAGCATAAAGGCAATTTTTAGAAATACCTCCAGGACGTCCAAGTTTCGTCACGAAATGAATTAGTTTCGATGCTTTTCATCCCGTCTTCCTCCTGAGAGATTTTAAGGATTACGAAAACTATTTTGTATCTTACTTAAATATTATCTACTGTGTATTTATTGTTTACTTATTTTTTGACAGAAATTATAATTTACATGTTATGTTCGGTCATTTAGGAGCAAACGTTGGCATTAAAATACATACGTAGAAATCTTAGGTACAAGACGATCATCAGTAAATTTATTGAAATTTTAATAAAGAATTAATCTTAACCTTTTAGCCCTCTATTTTTTTAAACATTTTGCTTTGCATAGCTACCGATTTTTAGCAGTTCATTTAATAAATATTCAAATTTAAGCAAACACACATGCTTCCCTATTTTATAATACCTATGATATATATAATGAATGTTTTCATAGATAAATTGCTAATAAATATTTCAAGGGAGCTGCTACAAATAAATACGTTATTTAAGCTACGTTAATTTTATATTCCATTACATCCTAACAAATTGTCTTATCTGATATACATTTTATTGCATCTCCTTCATGAGTTATTTCCCCAAATCCTTTTCAAACATGTGTGATAGTATTCAGCTTTATCACTTAACTCGGTGCCACGTGGCGATACATTGATCATACACGCGTTGCAACTGGCAGCTGATTTCGATGATAAATAAACTCCCATTTACTACAGCTGTTTCCACAAAATGCACTTTGTCGCCTTATTCGAACCACGATTCCCCCATGGTTAGGAAGATGACAAAAAAAAATTAAATGTTTTTCCAAGTCGTCAAGAAATATAAAAGAGATAATTTTGCTTTTATTATCAGGAAAAATAAAACATGTCTTATGCTGTTGCTGAAAATGTGTCCAACTTAATCGGTAGGGTTGCACTGATAACCAACTTAATTGTTGGCAATCTCATGTTTTTAATAGGTTGACACTGAACGATAACACCATCAAATTTTATGGGCGTGTATCTAGAAATGAGTTAATATACCACCCATAACTACCTTTTTTATGCAGTAATAAAATATCTAAGTATTTTTTCTTCAGCGGCGATCAGTGATGTCATTCTTATCTTCCATAAATTTGATATTCAGTGCTTATTTAAGGCAAACGGTGATTTTAGGAAGATGGAAGTGATCTTGGCGAGTTTGTAAAGAAGTTAATCGCTACTACTTTCGCAGCGATAACGAGCTTATGACAAATAAAAATCGAGAGTTCGATATGATGTGTGCTTGAATGATCTTAAAAGATGCGATGGAGTGTGATAGATTGTCGCTTGGAAGTATTTTATTTCATAAAAGCATGCCATGGTCACTTTGTGAAACTAAGTTACAGAAACATATTTTTTGTTAATTTATAAAATACGCGTGAATAATTTAAATGTTTTATTTGTCATTTTTTTACAAACATTTTAAAAGCAACTGGTTGACCCTCAATCTAATTCATTTTTTTAAATCAGGCTCTTACGACATTAAAAGGATCTCATTTGAAATTTTATGCGTTAAGTTTTTAGCCACACTGAGAAAAAAATTCAGTTGAAATTACTAATGACATTTCTGGTAAAAAGAAATCGGTAATGAAAACCAAAATATACAATATTTAAACCATTCATTTAGTAGTTGTTTTGTTAATATGGCAAAAATTTACCGGAAAATCTGGTGTTAAATTATAATAGTTTTACTACCAAACATTTAGTAAAAAATATAAAACTGAAAACTAAATATAACCAAATAATGGCTTTTATGCCATGCTCTAAGGTATCATGATAAAACTACAAAAATGTCACCACATTTATCAAACTTTATCACATATTATACCAAATTATATCGTTAATTTTACCAAAATAAATATTAAAGTGATTCGGGAAAAACTAGTCGGATTTTTAGTGCTTCCATACAGCCAGAAATACGGTAAATTTTATCATATGTTTGAAATTATCCAGGAAGTTTTAATCATACTTTTTTTTCTTACTGCAAGAGATTGAAAGTTAGTTAGGGGAAGTGTAAACGTTAGTTTCTTTATCAAAATTTTGTCACAACAGAATCAGAATTTATAAATATCAGCGTGTATCTTTCTAGAAAGTATGCTTTTCACAAAACTTAGTAAAAGCTTTATAATTGAGTATCATTCATTTCTTATTCTGATGGCAGCACAATTTACATGCATTCTTAAGTTCGACAATATCTTTACGCAAACTTCGAATGCTTTCATTCAAATATTTGTATTGAATTTAAAATGCAAAATTTGTTTTAACATACGTCTGCAAATGTTTGCATCAAGCCACTAGTGTGACTGGAATCCACAATGCTTCCATACTTTCGTTGTTTGAAATTGTTCAAACCCCTGAAGCCAAGAAATGTGATTCTTTACAATGTAAAGCTGAGACAAATGCCTTGAATGTGACATTACTAATAATTGCATGAATTTGTGAGATTTTGATATAGCAAAAGAGAAAGAAAATGTATAAGAATATAAGAGTAATCAGAGATAAATTTTGTCTGAGGTGAGACCGTTTCAATAATAACTAGTTGTATTTGAAAAAAAAGTGAAAGATGGAAGAGGACATGAGTCTCAGAAGACATTTACATTTGTTTCTATATATTACCATATCTCAGTAAATACTCAGAAATTGATTTATTACACTGTTTCAGAAAATTCTTTACTCATGATTCCAAGAACTTAATATACACTATATGACAAAAAAATCGACGCTCCAAGAAGGAGTTGTCCGATAGAAACGAAAATTGGTGGATAGGAAGACAATGTACAGAATAGTAAATGATTAAAATTTCAGAACAATTGAATAATTTATTGCAGAATTACAGTAACAAATTCAATAAGATGTTGACCCGCCTCTAGCCTGGATACAAGCTGCCACACGGCGTGGCATAGACCGATAAAGCTCCCGGATGGTCTCTTGCGGTATTTCCTGCCAAATTCGAT